GGGGGGGTACTCTATATAGCCACCGCTGCGAGGTCTAGCTGCAGCACGCCATGCATGCCGTCGGGGTGGTTCTGTAAACTTATTCAGTATCATGTTTCGTGGAATGGGCTGCGGCTGAAGTTCTTGCTTTTCTTACCCGAAAAATAGAGACCCTACAGAATGAGCAGAACGTACCCAATTCACTGACAAAATCTACAAGTCGGAACTGACATGGCCTGAACTGCACGGTCCTACGTAGTCAACACTAATTTATTACTAATAGGGGGTAAAAAAAAAAAACAGTTACAGGATTAATAATATTATGGCTTTGGCGACCCCCCCCCCAGAAAGTACAATTCGGTTAGTATTCTCCGTCACGAACCTGCCCAGTTCAACCTTTAGGCTCTCATGGCGCCTGACAGGTAGGCAATACCCTGCCTGCTGTACAGAAGTGTACTGCGGGGTGGCCTACCGCGAGCCTGGCAGGCGCCAAGCCGAGCTCACCTAATTTGCCGATGGAGTAAAACGGACCTACTTTCTAGACGATCCCTTCTGATACGCGTTAGTTTTTATTAGACGAATTCATGTAATTACTCTCATCCTTATAATATTGCCAAATGTTGGCTGCTCCATTCAGGGCAACACAAGACATTTAGCTGCATGTTCTCGATTCTAGTCTTTAGCAATTTAACACTCATTTGAAAGGCACTGAGTCGCACGTCGCACCGTTTTCATTTGAAGCTTCAACAAAGCGTGGTCGTACGAGCAAAAGTGATGGACAGGAGGGTGGGTTATGACGGAGGACAGAGGTCACATTTTTACTCTAATTTATTTATCCTTCATCCTGCCTGGCCCAATGTCGCGTGCGGAACATTGAATCAAATATTTGTATCGCTGTCTCTTGTCAGCTCAGTGGCCAAGCATCAATAACGATCTCTGTTTCTGCCAGTTTCTGTTTAGCCCTGGCCGGTTCGATTTCCCGACGATCAGTTTAAAAAATGTAGGCGAAGGCCACAGCTCTGTGGCCCTTATCAGCGACACGAAAAAAAAGAGAGTCATAACGCAAATATTTTCTCCGCATCTAGTGCAAAGTAAAGTTATTACGCGACGGTCCCACTTGATATTATTATATGTCGTGAGATCGAGGGGTACACCACTCTTAAAAGTAGGTGTACGCGATTAAAAAAGTCAAGAAAAAAGTCAAGATAAAGTCAAAAAGTCATTTGAAAAGTCAAAAAAAGTCAAAAAGTCACGGCCCAAAAAAATCGACTAAAAGTAGGTGTACGCCCAGAATCGGAGTGATGTACCCCTCGCGTGAGATTCTTTCAAATAAAGGGTAGCCCACAAATCCCAGAAAAGATCGTAGCCTTTTTATTGCACCGCATGCCTACTCGCAGGGGGCTTTAAGACGCCTCGGTGAGAGACGATAGGCAAGCTCACCCGCGGCTGCACGCATGGCATCTATACGAAATTTTCCGGTAATTTTTGATCCGGTGAAAAGCAATGAAAACGCGTCCTCGAATGCAACAGCCGACCCACGAGAACTCGTTGACTCCGGGCGCGACCCTTCCGCGCCGTATGGGTTGTTCCAACTACTGGGATGGTGCCAACCGCGAAGCCAAATCTCCCTGGCCGGGTGAACTACACGTCCTGCTTGCCATACACGATCCACAAGTGCCCTCGCCTACCGCGAATATGAGGTTGAAGACGAAGAGGATGTACTTGATGGCGTTCATGCCGCAGGACTCCATGTTGACGGCTTGGGCGGGGGAAACTGATCAGTCGCGGAGGAACAGGCGCACGGCGGCGTGCTCGTGGAGGCGCGGAAGTATCTCTCGGGTTGCTCGGCGAGCTCGGGGAGCTCGGGGTGCCCGGCGACGCTCTCCGACACGGCGCGTATACACACTGAGTGCTGCAGGCCGCCTGGGGACGGGGGTGGCCGGTAGCCGGGCGCCCAGCGCACCCTGCTCACCAGCGGCAGGGCGGGGCGGGGGTAGGGCGGGGCGGGGTGGGGCCCGGCGGGAGGGGGTTCTATAATAGAGGTGGCGGTTGGCGTCCTGCTGGAGGGGTCGCTTGCTGGAGGCGCGTAGCCCCGGAGGGTGGCGCGGTGTAGGGGTTGCCGCCATCGGCGCCCCGCGTCGTAGTATGGCGTGTAGCGCCGCAGTGGGGGCTGAAGGGGAAGGAGGGGGAGGGGGCAGTCTGGCGCCGACCACGTCCGTGTCGGCTGGCTGATGTGATGGGGAGGCACCAAACCGCCGAAGGAGCGCCGAGGACGTGTGGGCTGGCTGAGGCGTATATTTGGTCCCAAATAAAAGTGCATAATTTCCAAGAGACCCCACCCCATATCCTCCCCAAAAAATATTAGCAAACAACTGGCGAGATCTGTCCATGGCCGATATTCCATGTGCATTATTGAATTCAACCAGTAATACTGAGAATAATTCTCTCTTATTTCCTTGAAGGCCGATGTGTGCGGCGCGCCAGTCGAGGGGGTGGGGGCAAAGGAGGCGGGGTGGCGCCACCAGGGCAGGGCTGTGTTCTTTTATGACTGTTTGTGACGTATTACGGGCAAAGTGTGTCACTGGTGTCATGAGGGAGGGGGGGGCGTAAGGCCACGGGCAGAAGGACACCGGGGGTAGTAGTTTATGGCGTCATGGGGTGTTACGGGGCCGTAAGAGCGCGTGAGGACACCGGCGCATGCACAGCTTTACGACTGCGCGTCACGTGATTAGCGCGGCCGCCCGAGTGCCGAGCCGACTGCACTCTATCGGGTGGAACAGACGGACGGCGGAGCAGACAGGCACACGACAGACACTCAGATCGAGTAGAAAAGCTCACGCGCTTAACACTTTCCGTGCGACGGGTCCACACCCGTGGACCCGCAAAAATAGCCCTTCCGTGCGGCGGGTCCACATTGTGGACCCGGGTCCACACGGGTGGACCCGTCGCAAATTTTCCCTGTGCCAAGGGCCTAACCGAGTATTCTATTAGGTTTTAGAGCAAAAAAAATTTTTTCGAAAAAAAAAACCCTCCGCCTGTGGGTAGATGCGCTTAAAAAGGGCCCCGCACGGAAAGTGTTAATTGAAAGGGGTGGGCTAAGAATACGCCAGAAAATAGGAGAACTCTTCCTCTTTTATTTCCGACCTCATGGTCCCTCCAGCCTTCGGTGCGCTCCCCGGGTCGAGGGGTGCGGTATGTGCAAGGCAAGTCGAGGAAAGGGAGGGTGCGTCTGGCCGCGGTTATTGCCGGAGCCAGGCGAACCACCGGTCCTTTACGCTAGATTCCGAGAGGTGAACCCACCCGAATGATTGTGAGATTCCTCCGCCTGTTGCAGCTGTTGTACGACACAGATGTTTGTTTTGAGGCGCGAAGTGCGCGCCAACGCTTCCCGCCCTCCTATTTATAGGAAGTTTGACTTTTTACCCGTTGTAGCGGCGATGCGCGCAGCCCTTCGTGTCCTCGTCCCCGGTGCGCCACCACCGCCACGCCACGCACGGCACATGCGGTGCCGGCCGGGCCCACGCCCTCCCGCCGGGTGAACTACAATGTAAATCCAAGGTGTCCAGCAGGTTGGAAACAAAGTCGCCTGACCCGCAGAACTTGACGACTTATGTCAACCATCTGCTGTCCACCTCCTGTTCTTCCGGGTGATTGCATTGTCTGAGCCCATAGGCATTCCACTCTTTGTGCCCACCCATGCCATTATTCGGCAGACCAGAAGGTGTCCAGCAGATAGTCGACATAATGCGTCTAGTTTTGCGGATCAGGCGACTTTGTCGCCCATAGCTGCCGTACAGCCCGGATTTACAGTTTAAGGTTCAGCGTGTTAAACCGAGTTCACCAGGAGCACAATCGAGAGCTGTAGCTGTCATGCCCCATTCCCCTTAGGGAATACCCATACCGGGACTTGGGGTGTGACAGACAGCCCACTGGGCCGCAAGGCGGACGATTCCAAACCCTGTCCTGACTGTCTCCTGCTCTCAGAGTCGCGGCGGCTCATCAGCCAACAGCCTTGCCATTAGCATTAGCGGTGCAGAGGCAGCGGTGCTGCGTTAACGGATTCTGACGCAGAGGGTGCCCCGCCCTGGCCGTGGCCCCCGCCCCCGCTGGGTGCCGCCCCGCGGCCCCATAGGCGACCCCGTGGCCTAGTTGGCCGGCTACGGCCCGAGACTACGGCGCTCTTGTTGTTCCCCGGAGCTGTTGCTGCGCTGCGGCCGGCGCTCTGGAGCGAGGGCTCCGCGGAGGGACCCGTAGTGACCACACCTAAATGATCGATTTCTTGAGTTTGCAGGGCGCACCCGGGGTCCGCCCCGCCCCGCCCTGCCGCACCCCGCAGGGGTGGGAGAGAGCGGGAGTGGGCTGGGCCGATGCCTGGCTGCGCCTAGTTAGCGGGCTCGCCGCGGCGGTGTCCGCCCTGCTGCCACTCAATCGCGGCATCGCCCCGCCCCCATCCCACCCCCCTGTCCCCCCAGCCACTTGCACCCCGAAGCGCCTCCCCCTTCTCCGAACGCTATTTCCAGCTCGTCTCCACCCCTGTCTGCCCGCGGTGTACTATTTGCACGGACAGGACGTGTGGTTTGCGGCGCGCCAAAGCCCAGCATTATTATTTGCAAGGAGGGCGTTGCGTTCCTTTCCACACACACACATCTGGGGTTCTTTTATAGCCTTGTTGATTATTCGCCGAGCATTTGCCCGAGGATGAAATAACTCCAGATGAAAGTGTACATGTTAGTACAGCACTATTACGCCTGATTTCTAGCATCAGAACGCGCCATTGCGCTGTTGGTACGTGGAGTTAGTTAGAGCGCCTTTAACACAGGCCAGGGTGTACGAGTTAGTACGCATGTGATTTGACGCTCACATTTACCCATTTAACCCTGAATATGGTAATTTGATTGCACCCTTGCGGGTTGCTCTCGTCGCGAGGACAGCGCGTGGAGGTCTCTGTCGCACCCCCGGTTCGCAGTGCGAGCAGGCCGGGGGCCGGGGTAAGCGAGAGAGTCCTGTACACAAAAAACGCATTCTTTGGAAAACAAAACACCTGTTTTTGATACCAAAACCCTTTCCGTCCAAAAGAGTAAACCCTGTAGAATGGCAACACCAACAACGGTTTACTTGTTACGTAACAAAACCAAAATAATTCCTGCCGCATCACCAAAGGCTGTTCTCGGACTTCCTAGTTTCTCGCGGAGTGCTTGTGTGCTGTGTAGTACATAATCATAGCCGAAGCCGAGGCACGCGTACAACTTTTTCTCGGAGTGCGCGAGGTCTGCGAGGTGGAATGCCCGCTTTGTCACCACTAACCGCGGGGTGATTCGAAGTGTGGAGTTCTACAGGTCCTCGACCTCTAATATGCGGAGAGTGGCGCGGAGGTGGCGAGAGAGAGGGTGGGGAGTATGTTGGCGGGGGGTGGGTGCCGTGCGAGACAAAACACTGCGGTTGCTAAGAGACCGTGCGTACTCAGGTGTGCACCGCGGGGTTGCCGAGGCGTGGCGAGGCAGGGCGGGGACCTTTGGGTGGTTCGCAAACGATGACTCAGGGGTTAGGCCGGCGTCAGAGCAATAACATATCGAGCAGACGGAGACAATGAACGATATTATTGCGTCACATTTATTCATCATCCTGTTAACTACTATGCCCCCGCCGCTTTTGCTGCTCGGTCATGGGCCGAGAAATGTCGGATATTGGCTTCGAGAATGAGTGATGGCAGAAAGGTGAAAGAAAGATAAAAAGCGCGGCTTGGAGAACTCGTAACATTTTTTCCCCTCCGCAGTTTCTCCTATGCATTTGCATGAAACTGGGAACGCGACGATAAGATTGGAAATCTGCATTCCTACCCCAACATTTCTCCCGTCATTCCTCCGGCGAAAAGGAATGTTCGATGAACGCCGTTTTTCATAAAGCACCTTCATGGAGGATGGGATTGCAAATGCAACACGCGGAGAGGCCACTGATCCCAGCCAGTCTCTTTTGGTTTTCTTTGGCGGCTTGTGGAATTGCCGCCCCCACGCTGCCGAGGTCAGTTTATTCAGAAATGAGACGGAAGGAGCTCGAGGAGCTGGGGTACCGAGCGCGAGCGCCCGACCAGCGGGGGATAGGCAACCCGCGTGCGCGGCGCTCGGGCGGCTGGCCTACCCTGACGGGCGATGGTGCGGTGGCGCACCGGCGGGGTACTCCACAAGCAGGGATCGCTGACCGCGCGCCGCCGTTAAATAATAGCAGGAGGAAGAAAGCCGAGGTCCGAACTGCGCGGCTTGGCGTGGCTCGGCTCGGCGGGGCTCAGCGAGTCGCACGCGAGACCCGGCCGTATCATAGGCCACACTTTTGTTTTTTTACACCACCCAGCTACCCCCTCGAGGGTTCCGTGACCTTCGGGGGGCCTTACCTGCCCCTTTGTTGTTAGCCTCACCGGACGTGGCCTGACGGAAAAGGGGGAGCTCGGAGCGAGTGCAATGTGGTAGGCCAGAAGTGTGAAAGATAAGACTATTTTAAAAGAATGATACCTTCTCATCGCCTTACATGCGTTAGAAACGGTACAATGAAAATTGTTCATTAGAAAAGGAGAAATTAATTAAAAACCGTGAAATCGGTTCCTAGATTTGAACACAAGTATTATTTTTTTTTTGGGGGGGGTTATCGAGTACCCGGTGGTCAGTCGGATTTACAACAGTTTGTTTTTATGTCTTGTCATCCTTTGTTTCAATTTTTCCCTCGCAGGTTTTGCAGTTTGCGGTCGGGGGGTCGCGCTAATCAGGTCGCGATGTGATTACTGGAGCCCGTCCAGGAGGCCCTTTGGACAAGCCTGACCCGAAAGGGAGGGGGGAAGTCAATCAGCCAGCCGTAGCCGGTGGTGGTGTGGAGGTGGGGCGGTCTCCAACCCCGTCTCCCCCTTTTCACGGACGTCCAGCCCGTCCTCTTCTCAATTCAATCTCACCCTCCCCATTATTGACCTCCCACTTTACTGTGGCCCGAAATTTTCTTATTACTAACACGTTGAGTACCACGTGGCCGCGTACGGCCACAATAAAATGTGTGTGGGGGGTGGGCGACTCAAGTGTTCTACATGTGGAAAATTATTGTGCGTGGCCTTTCTCTTGTCTGAAGTGAGTCACCTTCAACACCGACACTACGCAGAACGTCCTATTGAATTGTTGTTCGAGGTGAGAAGGGGGGTCGCAAAGAAACGTTGTATTTACAAAACATGTTTTAATGGTATAATGAGAAAAGAGTAAACCATGCTTACAGAATGCTGCAGTTAAAATGAGATTTGAATTATTCTGTGATGAAGAGTGGGCCACGTTTTATAAAAAGCAAACTTTCTAAAAAGAAACATAGTAAAGAGCAGCTAGCAGCAAGATGAAACTATATCACATTATCACATTGTTGTAAGGAGAGAACGTGGTATATGATGAAACATCTTTCATATCTTACGAGTATTACTCTAGGCCATATCTAATCATAAATAAGAAATAAATACAGCATTACACATAGTTTTCCGCGGCCATCGAAATGAAAACGTATGTATCAAAATACTGCTGGCACAAAAACATTATTTAAATTAAGATAAAGACAGTGCTCTGTGTCTGCACAAATAAACAAGCTTTAAGGAACTATTTACAATATTGTACAACCTTCTTTAAACGACATAAAACATTGAGATCCAACAAAACTAGTACCAGGATCAAAGTTAATATGACAAAAACAATGTTTAAAATTAACTCGTAATCACAACGAAACAGCATTTGCACATAACACCGACTTATTTCACATTAGTTAAGTACTAGACTGCAAGTGAGATTACCTCAGATGACGCAGGCGTGCGTTGCACTTTGCATCGGCAATGCGGCAATTCCCCACCCGAAGTGATACGGACGTGTTGAAGCGCCACCGTCGACTTCCCAGGCAAGACCAAAAAAGGTGACGTCAAAATAACATCAACACGACGTCATCTTGATATCGTTTTGATGGCGTTAGACATTGTTTCCTGGGTAGTTTCATGGTAACTTTGTGCGCAGCGAGAAAAAAAGTTTTGAAGGGTAAGATTTGAAAAATGTGGGTGAGGACATTTACATAGACACTTATTTACATAGACACTTATTTAGAAATATTCGCGATACTGAGAGCCCCACAGAAGGACTCCTCTTCACAGCTGGGCAGATTCACCGCATTTCGGATGTGCACCAGGGATGTCGTCGTAAAGGTGGCACTTTTACCGGCAACCTTAAGATCAGACTCTGGTAGATTACCGGCCACAATCAATATGACCGGATATAAACCAAAGTCGATGGCACGAGAGTTTGGTGTTGGTTTGGAATGGTCACAGGGAAGCCCGCAGAGGGGCCGTGTAGAGTGTGTGCTCAGGCTCGGGCGAGGAGCAGGCACAGAAGCGGGACAAGCAAGGACCAAGTCCACCTGAGGGCGGGTGCGGCGCTGTTAGCGGGTCTGGAGGCCTCGGTCCAGGGGCCGGCGGGGAACCTGTACACAAATAACGAGTTCAAGGAAATTAAAGGGAGGTCATACCTTCATTGTCGTTTGGTTTAAAATTCTTCATTCTAAATATTTCAATGAAAAATTCATGAACATTGAACAGTGGTCTATCGACAGTCTCAATTTCCATGTCATGTCATTGCACTGATTAAGAAAGTGTGTAACTGGCGTGCATATGCATGGGTTCAGCACTATTACGTTGCACACTTTTGAGTGATTGACTGGATATTTAGATGATTAAAAGTGTTCAACAGTGTTTGAATTCTGTAAAGTGTCCGAAGTTTTATGGCCAACCCTGCTAAAGTTTTACTTTTCCGAGTAGTGTTCAACACTTCTAAGTAGTATTTAACACTTTTAAGTAGTGTTCAACATAACTACACATTATGGTATACAAATATCCAGTAAAACACACCCAGAGAAGTGGAGAGCTCTAGCAAGCATTGCATGGTTACTTCAGGGGCGACCATAATATGGCAGAACCATATTTTAAATCTCACGGACAATTTATTGTTGCCGCAACTATCGCTTTACGGCTGTCCCTAAAGTAACCGTACGATGGTTGCTACAGGTTTCCATTTTTCTGGGTGCATTTAAAAGTGTGCAACATAGTGTCGGGCAGTTGCATTCGCACTTTATTTCACAGCGTCATTTTTGTTTGAAAGAATTTAAAAACAGTCACTTACTTGATCTTGATGGTGCCGCAGGCCACCCTGTCCCCGGCGTGGCCGGTGGTGAGGGAGTCCGGGTAGCCGCCGCGGCCCAGGTCGTCCTCGTGCGAGTGCACCACCACGGCCCTGCCGATGATGCCGTGCGGTCCCATCAGCGAGATGACGCGATCCTCCGTGCGGATGGTGGCCACGCCGAACTCGTTGGCCACGATGTTGCCCAGGTCGCCGACGTGTCGCTCAGAGTCCTCGGGTCCGCCGTGCTTTTTCTGACATGGAGGGAAGTGCAGTGAGTAAGAGCTGTGCACTCTCACCAAACCACTTTGAGGTCGCACACAAATCGGGGCACTTTAATTTGTGCGGGGGTGGGACAGTAAGGCTGTACTTACGCCTTCGGGGTTGAAGTGTCCGCCGGCCGCGGCGCAGCCCGTGCTCACGTCCCCCTTCTCGTGGACGTGGAAGCCGTGGCGGCCGGGCGCCAGCCCCGACACGTTGCCGAAGATGACGACGGGACCGTCACCGAGCTGGATGAAGGTGATGTTGCCCTTGACGGCGCCCTGGAGCTCCACCATGGCTCCCCGTTTCTGCAACGACAGCAGAGTTCTCAAAGTTATTATTCAGATCCCCCTATCATCTTCCACATGCAAGCTTGCTCAGTCCTGCATCCATACCAACATCAAAACTCCTTTTTCTTAGAGCCTCTCCAAGCACCCCCGGCACCTCCACATGCATAGATAGGGGAAGGAAAGACAAAAAAGACAGTAAAAGTGTGAACGAGGCGGCAGACAATGTGCGAGAGGCAGAAAGGCGCCCGCCCAGTTGGTGCGGGCTGCCAGAAGGTCCTTCGTGTACGATGGGTTGCCTGCAGCCACGGCGTTCTCGCAGCGCGCGGGCTCGCGACCCGGCTCGTGCACTGCGTCTACGTACGTACATACCTTCGTCTGAAGAATCCTCCAGCCCTCACCTCACGTGCAGGTATGGGAACGAGGGGATATGAATGATGTTACGTGATGGCGTACCCCAAGCGCCTCGGGCCGCCACGGGCGGGACACAAACAGTGCGATGTCTGATGACTTTTCCATCGCCACTGGAATGCATCCGATTACATCACGCCTTTGGTCCAGCCCGTGCCGCCGGGTATCGTGCACGGGCAGCGCGCATGCGGGACTGAGCTACTCACCACGGTGCCATCTGGGTACTGCTTGAATGTGAACTCCGTGGTTTCCTGAACAATATATTTATATTTACAGTCATGAGAAGTGCAGGTGTTCAAAGTCACGCCGGGTGCATGTTAATTACAAAAGAAAAGTTTTTTTAAAAAATAAATTAATCCGTCGACGGAAATTGAAGAGTTTGCACACAAAGCTACACAGGCAGTGAATAGTTTCGGCGAAGAGGCGGAAATAAAAATAATTATATTTTACTCAACAAGTTTGTTGTGTTCAATTTTTAGCACCTTGCAAATCAATACAACACAAAAGCAGTGCAAACATTTTTGCAGGAACAAAATCACGAGAAAAGGTTAAGGTTAATGTCGGTAATTAATTATGCAACAGCCAGAAAGTGGAAGAAACACAAAAACATGTAAGGATATGCCTGCCTTTGAGATATTCACCAAGAGGTGAGTTATTATTTCGTTTATTTTATGAACTTTGTACGACTTGTTCTCAAAAGGTTATCATCAAAAGCTACTATGCGTGAGCGCAGCCAGCACCCAAGTTTGAATGACAAGACAATCGCCTGAACGTGAAGCGTCACGCGGCAAGCGTACTCTGTCAACACTAAACAATAAACTCTGTTCCTTTGAGAACCAGCGCGCAGACGACTTGCTATGGAACAAATAAAGAGTAAAGAAAGATGTATGACAGGAATTCGGAAACAGTCTTTCTGATTTCCAAAAATAGTTTATTGTTTGTCGTGAGAGGTGTACCGGGCTATCTATGAATGCGCCGCAGTGTTTCGGGTTTGCATATTCCCTTCGCCCGCCAACACGCCATGGACCCTGCGAACCTGTCGAGTAGGCAAAACGCCGCAACACGGGAGCGCATTCAAAGATGCATCCAGTACAAGTCTCATGGTGGGTGCCAACACTTTCATCTCTCTTTGTTTGCTTGCGGCAAGTCGGCAGGTCGTCCATTCTCTGACGCGCGCTGCCCATCCTACACTCTTAAAGTCTTTTATGAACGCCGTCGTGTTCATCATATGGACAAATTGTGTGCTGTAATAATACGCTTTTCCCTCCATAACGTAAGAGTCCAAAACTTAATGAATGAAGACGTTCATAGCATATTACAAACGAGGGGATTCGTAATACGAACAACTAGTGTTCGGACTATGACAGCACAGAATTCTTTCTAATATGAACGTGAGATTCATAAAATGAACAGTGGCGTTCATATTAGGAACACTTTATTTGTTCGTAAGATTTTAAGAGTGCACGGCTTGTTAAACACACTACAAAACAACTCGAGGCATCCTGCGCTAGGCGCGGGGCGGAGTGAGCTCGCGCTGCACAAACTACCCCACTGCAGTCTTCCGGCACGCAGAAGTGGGTCAGTAGGGTCATTCATTTCGCCCAAAGGGGTGTGGCCCAGGGGCTCGCCAGAGCTTGTTGGGCCGTTCAGTTAAAAATACAAACCCTCCCGAGCCCTGGCGAGGCGACCTGACCTAACGTGACGCGCTGACCCGGATTTTCGCGCAGATTTTCCCCCCCTTCGCGTTGCGAAGGGCGCGGCCCGAAAGAATGCAGCAGCAGTGCGCGCTCACCCGCACCCCCTGTAGCCCAAACACACACACGCATTCTCCCTCTGACTCTCTTTCTCTCCTTCTCTCACCTCCTCGGCGGCTCCGACAAGCCCGAGTACCGCGGCCAGTAGGCAGAGGCAGAATGGTAGTGACGGCAACATCTGCAACAGAAGAGGAAAACGGATTATAATTATATGCATATTATTAAAAATATTTCACTTCGTAAGCGACGACGATCAGCGCTGAAGACAAGGTTACAATGCAAAAGGGCGGGATCCTCGACAGGAAACTGGTGACGCCCACGACTTGGGATGCAGAACGCTTCCTAGACGCCTCGCGCCTCGCCCGCAGCAGCTGCGGAGCGGAAGTAAGTGGCAGCTGCAGGTGACTGCCGGCCGCTGCAGCTGCTAATGGTATTGATGGGCTCGCCTCGGGAGTCCGACGGGAAGGCCGACCAGCGCGATGCACCCCATCCCGCGGGTCGTGCGTTCGTGATGTTGACGTGAGAGGCCACGGTCACACGACATGACATAGCCGGGCAATAATGTAATAAGGTTTTTATACTGGCCTTTAATTTTGTTTGATTCTAAACGTTTATTGGCTCTAAAGGATGTGTGTTATTGCACCAACCAATACTGACGAAGAATTTTTACTCGGCGTCGTGGAAGATGCGAGTAGTAGTAGTATAGTTGTCGCCATTCAAGGCCAAGGACGACCCAGCAGCTAACTAGCTGACTCACCATCACACACACACTCACAGACGACCATGGTTGAGCTCCTCTAAACAACGCCAGAGTTTCGATTGTGTACATCACATCACATGAAAGTCACACACACGGACTCAACACACTCACACCCGGCCGCACAGCCAATTGTTTGCGGGAGGAGCAGGCAGCGCCCACTCAACGCGAAACTATATCGAAACGTCCATGCAGAAACGTAGCCAATAAGCGGTTTTGACGTCGATTTGGCTGCTAGTTTTCACAGCACACAAGAAAATTAAAAGCTGTAGCAGTACCATCGCAGCAGGGTCACCTCAGGGGAAACAATAAAATATGGCTGAGGCACCAATAACACAGGTGTATCAACCAAAAACAATACGGTTTTCACCACTGGTCGTTGTCCCAACCATATTTTATGGTCCCTGAAGGAACCATTCGATGCTTGCACCACCAACTTTTCTTTTTCCTCGGTGAGGCACTTCCAGGACTTCCAGTGACGGAGCTCCAAATCAGCCCCTCGGCCGTCATTACATTCGAGAGGTCCGCGAATAAACCCGGCGGCCGCACCGAACCGCGGGGAGGAAAGGGCGGCGGGGCAAACAATCGATCCCTGGGCCGCGAGAGGTCGAAGTTCACATCTGATAACGACACAACATCTGAGTCAGGGGGTCTCAAAACGAGAGGATTGCGTGTGTCACTCTCATCGCGGGGGACTTGGGGACCCGGTCCGCCAGAGAGGACTGGGAAAGAAAGGTGAGAGAGAAAGAGAGACACAGAGGGGGGGGGTGGGGAGGCGGGCGGGGAGGGACGGCGAAGAATGCGCCAATCACAAGGTTAAGGTTCAGCCAGCCGCCACCCAAGGGTGTGATGAGCCATTACAAAGCAATTACGAGAATCTCGTCTCCGCCGTCGAGATGGGCAGATTAGAGACAATAGGAGATGTGTGTGGCCGACGCACCGGCGCGAGCCTCGTTTGAGGCTGCCTGCCTGGGAGCCATGGGCGGCTCATTATGCAGTGTTTGAGCGGCGCCAGCACCAGGGGTCGGCGAGCCCCTCGTCCGCACGCGCGCCATCGTTTAAACTCTCTCAATATCCTCCATTTCCACCACTGCTTGCCTGATTGGGCCGAGACATGAAAAATAGAAATATCTCAACATCCGGAAAGTACGTCCGTCATTCACCATTTCATGGAGTTGAGCTGAGCCAAGCTCTCATAGCGCCTGTTAGGGAGGCAACATCTCGCCTGCAGAGCATGCGTGTACTGCGGGGTGGCCGACGCTGAGTCTCGCAGGCGCCCAGCCCCCGAATTATTATTCCGTGGAAAAACGGACGTACTTTCTGGACGATTCCGGAAACAGACAATAAGTCCAGACCATCATACATGCACACGCATACACAAAGGGGTGAGTTTGACCTGTTGTTTGGCACCCACCCTCAACCCTTGGGGCCTGCGTTGTTTGTGGGGTGGTTTCTGTTGTTGGCCGGGCGGCCACCAGAGGGGGCGGCAGCGCGGGGAGGGTCGCTGAGAGCCCCAGGGCCGCGGGGTAGCTCCGCGGAGGGGCGGAAAGTGCAGCGGAGTAGCGCCGGCCCAGGTAAGGCAGGGCCCCGCCCCGGGCGGCAGTGTTTGCTTTTACGAGCCGGGCCGCACAGAACGTGCCACTTACTTGTTTGCTCTAGTAATCACACGAGACCCACGCAGGGCCGCTCCCTCCGGCGCGGCGCAGCGGGACGCCAGCTCCGACAACGCCGACGGACTTGCAAAGTGTTTTTTGCTCTGGTGCTGCTGACGCCTCGCTGACGCCAGCCTGCTGCTGACCGGGCGGCCGAGGCCAGAGATGCGTCGAAGGAACGAGAGCCCTCCTGGGTTAATGTTGTTTGGGCCGGCAGAGAGAAAAGATACAGCGGTCAGCAAGGCGTCGGCGTAACAAACTAGGGCAGGGACAAGGGCAAGGGGACGCGAAAGGGCCCGGGGAGAGCGGGGCTACGAGGGCATGAGGGCGCACGGAGACGGGGG